ACACCGGCTCCTTTAAGTGCAGGGAACTGCCGTTTCTGGAGATCTGGCGTACAGGCGGGGGGGGCGGTGGACATCCCCAATGTGACGTCACCATGTCGGGGATGCCCTGCCTCCTCCAGGAACGCCCCCAAAGTCCCCCGCTGGGGCTGGAAGATGGACTTGGCAACGCTACGATCAGGTAGCAATTATTGACTTCAGCTACAGAATCTGGCAGAGCAAGATTCAAGTCCAGTAGCACCTTAAAGAGCAATATAATTTTCCAGGGTGTAAGCTTTCAGGAGTCACAGCGCCCTTCATCAGATACAACAGCTTTAACCCTAGAAAACCCCGGAATGTTTTGTTGGTCTCTAAGGTGCTACTGGACTTGAATCTTAGCCTTCTACTGCAGACCAACATGGCTACCAACCTGGAACAATCTGGCAAGAATCACAACTGTTCAAGGCATATCTACATGCCCTTTTGTTTATGCTTAGGTGAACCTAGTCACTGCAGTTATTTATTTAGCAGGTTTCTACACTACCTTTCTACTAAAAGAGGTGGTCTACAAGTAAAGACTTAAAATATAATAACTACAGTGAGGTTTCCCTTGCTCGAAAGCTAGTCGAATCCGACTCTAGGGGGCGGTGCTCATCTCCGTTTCCCAGCCGAAGAGCTAGTGCTGTCCAAAGATGTTACCATGGTCATGTGGCTGGCATGACTAAACGCCGAGGCACACGGAATGCTGTTACCTTCCCATTGAAGTGGTACCTATTTATCTACTTGCAATTTCTTGCTTTCAAACTGCTAGGTTGGCAGGAGCTGAGGCCAGTGCAGGAGCTCACTCTGTCACGTGGCACTTGGGTCTCGAGCCGCTGAGCTACAGACCTTCCAGTCTGCAGCTTCAGGAACCTCTGAGCCACTGCGGCATCTAACTACGGTACAAAGGGCTAAAACCCTAACAGTGACAGTCAGTCATACAAAGATATAAAACAGCAGTCCTGATAAAAGCCAGCAATGACAGAATAAATCAGTAGCATGTCAAGAGCACTTTGGTATAAAACAGTTCATCTTTGTGGCTTCTGTGCAGTCCCACATGGGACTACGCTTTCGCAGGCTGGCCACGGTGAGGAGCTAGCAAGCTTTTTAGAGAAGTTTCTAGAACCCAAGAGTGCTCCCCCTCCCCTCTGTCTTCAGCATAGCTTTTCCCACCTGTGATGGAGGAGGGCCCAGCGCTCTTCCCTAGGTTCTCTTCTTGCTGCCATAAGGAGAGGACATACTATAATAAGCTACTGTGAACGACGTCCCTCAGTGCTTCTGACTGGATTTCTTCATCTCTTCTTCAAAAGAAAGGGTAGAATGTTACTTTTTAAGAAGTACAAGGAATGTGGAGCCAAATGGTGCAAAATGACAAGCATAAATCGTGCTTCTTATGTTTGGGCAAAGGTCAAAATCCTGCCTCATGCCCGGCCTACTGCCACCTCATGCTGAAGTCTAAAGAAGGGAGAGCGATTAGACTCAAATTAGCTTTGTGGGGGAAAGTTTTGGGAGCCCCAGGCCTGAATTTGGATAAGTGCCTGAGCTTAGAAAAAATAGTAAGTGCCCTGTTGGTAGGCATGGTACCGACCCCCTCAATACCACAGCTGCCTGAAAAATCAACTGTGACTTGGTCAGCCTCGGAGCTCAGGTCTTTCCTCAGAGCTCAGGTGTTTACACCTGATAGCTTGGTACATCAATTCCTACTGCCATTGACATGAAGAGTGACAGAGGTAATGATTGCCTCATGCAGACCTTCTACAAGAAGGTCGTTTGAGTATAAATGGAAGAGGTTCTCAACATGGGCAAAGGGACAAGGGATTAGTCCAGAAACCTGTGGGACAGCTAAGATATTTGAGTACCTCCTTACCCTGAAGGATGAAGGCTTAGCACCTTCATCCATTAAAGTCCATTTGGCTGCAACCCTAGCTTTTCATGAAACAGTAAAGGGTTCCACTTTTCTCTGTTGTGACATCCAAACAGTTCCTTAAAGGTTTGTGGAATTTATATCCACCTGTTGTACATGCTGTCCCAAAAAGGAGTATATCTCTGGATTTGTCCATATTGATTTATAAACCATTTGAATCAGTGGCAAGATCTGATTTGTCTTTTCTTTCAAATAAGATAGCATTTTTGCTGGCTATCACCTCTGCGCACAGGGAGAGGAAACTAAGCACACTCTGCTGCAACCCTCCCTTTCTAAAAAGTTTTATAGATAAGGTGGTGCTGAGACCACGCCTGGAATTCCTCCTTAAGATGGGTCTCCTGGTTCCACATGGATCATGACAACACTCTGTCAGCGTTTTTTTCCCCCTTCCCTGACTTCTGCACCAGAAAAGACGCTGAACACATTAGATGTTAGAATGGCTCTCCTCTTTTATTTAAAAAGGGACAGGAATTTATTCATCTGTTTCAGAGGCTGCAGTAAAAGGAAGGCCGCCTCTGCACAACCCTTGTCTCAAAGGATGGTTTCCACAATTGGAGCAGCATACACTGAAACAGGCAGGAACTGTCCAGTCACTGTATCTACACACTCTATGAGGGCTCAGGCTTCATCAGCAACCTTCTCATCCAGGCTGCCTCTTGACCTGGTAAATGCCCTCGACTTTTGTACGGCATTACTTCATGGACGTTGACTCCCGGAGTGAGGCAGCTGTAGGGGTGTTGCACTCAGTCTTCCACTGATCCAGCCCACACCCTCCTCATCGTAAGTGAACTTGCTATTCTCCCATGTGAGACAGAAGCCATGAAGATGAAAACAGTTTTGCACTTTCCTGTAACTGTTGTTTATCGAGTGGTCTTCTGTGCAGGCACACATCCCTTCCTCCTTTCCCCACTGTGGGCTTCTCTACTTATGCTCACTCCTTACAGAGGTGGAGAACTGAGGGAAGAGTGCTCTCCCCTCCTCCATCATGTGACTCTTTGGGCAGGAAAGGCTATGCTGAACACAGAGGGGAGGGGGAGAATTCTTGGGCTCCAGAAACTTCTCTGTAAAGCTTAGCTCCACTCCATAGCTGGCTTGCAAAAACACAGTCCCAGTTGTGCCTGTACAGAAGACCACTCGATGAACAACAGTTACAGGTAAGTGCAACCCCTTTTTAAATAAATTTCCATGTTCCAACAAAAAGGGAAAGTGGAATTCCCTGCCTCAGGAGAGATGAGTCCATAGGCCATGGCTAAGAAAGCAGTGACCTGTGTGTCTACTAACCATTCTTACTTCACTGTTCTCTTAATACTGTGATCCTAGTTAGGAATGGGCACAGACTGGACAATGGGCCTAATTTTTCCATGGACCGGGGCCCAGTTTGTGGTCCTTGAGCCCGGTCCATGCCATCCTGCCAACACGGACCTCCCACGACCCTCCCAGGAGGTTCATAAGGTCCGTGTCATCAGGGCTTGCAAAAGCCATTTAAAGGGAATGTGTTTCTTTAAATGGCTTTTGCAAAGCCACGCAGTGAGTCCATCCAATTCCGGTTCATCCAGAAGTGAACTAGAACTGGGTGAAGTAGCTGCTTGGCCTTCAGTCACACGCTGCGCGGTATCACAGACCAAAGGGACCACAACCCGGTCTGTTAAACATGGAGAATCATGGTCCGGTGGTTCATAAAGCCCATGGACCTCGAACCTCTGTGGATCACCATTTCTCCCTCTGAGGTGGAGGCCATCTTGTGGGTGATTCCCGTCCATCATCCATGGAGGCATTTATTATTGCCTCGATAACACTGTCTAACCATCTCATCCTTTGCCGTCCCCTTCTTCTTTGACCTTCAATCTTTCCCAGCATCAGGGTCTTCTCCAGTGAGTGCTCACTTCTCATTTGGTGGCCAAAGTATTTGAGCTTCAGCTTCAGTATCTGGCCGTCCAGGGAACAGTCAGGGTTGATTTCTTTTAGGATTGACTAATTTGTTCTTCTTGCAGTCCAGGGGACTCTCAAGAGTCTTCTCCAGCACCATAATTCAAAAGAATCTATTCTTCAGTGCTCAGCCTTCCTTATAGTCCAACTCTCGCAGCCATACAGTACTACTGGGAATACCATTGCTTTGACCATACGGACTTTTGTTGGCAGGGTGATGTCTCTACTTTTTATTATGTTGTTATATGACAGCATATAAAGGACATAGGCAAACACAATTAACAAAATTTTTACTCAAAATACAAACAAAAACCATTGATTTCTAACAGTGAAACCTATCGATTTACTGGGGAACCCACAAAAGCCACTATAAATGTATTTATATGCAAGATTTTTCCAGGGGATATCATAAAAGGGGGAGTACCTTAAATTTCCATACATACCAGTTGCTTGTGGGCTGGGTAAGATCCCTGGACGGGCCGGTTCCAGCCCCCAGGCTTCATGTTTAACTACCCTGGTTTAGTACAACACTGAAAAAAGCACTTTTATTTCCAAATATTACAGCATATGACCCTCTTTTTTATTTTTTTTCTGTTACTTTTGGATTTCTTTGGTGTCCTTATGCTTTTTTAAATATTTATAAAGGACATAGGCAAACACAATTAACAATTTCTTTGGTGTGCTTATGCTTTTAAAAGTATCCTTTTATTTTTGAATGATTTTACCCTGCTCTGTTCCTGCAAAGCAGGACCTAAGAGGGCTTGTAATGAAACATACATTATAATACATAGACCTTACTAGACGTCTCACAGAACATCGATAAAGTGGATCACAGTCCTCTCCCCCAGGCACTGGTTTCTTTCAGCCCTGGTTGGAACTTTCTCCTTGACATATTAAGAAATCTTTTTTCAAGAATACTTGGCTTTGTTCATATGAACTCAGGTGGAAACCAGATGTCACATTACAATCTGTTTTGTAGAGTCCAAGTGAATTAATGCATTACTCGTGGTAAACTTGTAAACAAATGTAATCCCATACAGTTTAGTTTAACGGGGAATCACTGCCCAGCTACTGGACTTGCATTGCTTCTCCTGTATTCCTGGATTAATTTGATTTTCTTCTCTTTGTTGTGCAGAACCTGTCCTCGTGGAATCCCTCAAACCCTGAATGCCTCCTGCTTGTTGTGAAAGAACTTGTGCAACAATATCATCAGTTCCAGTGTAGCCGATTACGTGAGAGCTCTCGCCTCATGTTTGAATATCAAACATTACTTGAAGAACCTCAGTATGGCGAGAACATGGAAATCTATGCTGGCAAAAAAAATAACTGGGTAAGCCGTTGCATGGGCACTAGCAGAATAACATAATGGATTCTAGAGATTCCTTCTTTGTGGTAACATTGGCCATTACTTTGAAGAAGTTATTTGAGTTAAGCGTGTCTCTTACAATAGCACCATGTCCTCAGTTTATCTTCGATGCCTTCCACCCCTCTTCTGTTATATTACCTTACTTGAACCTGATTTCTAGACAATCAGCTATATCTTGAACTGTAGTGTGAAGTTAAGGGTCATGGCATGCCATAGCATACCATATCATACGGCTAAAAATGAAAATGAAAAGTCCAACTTTTACTGTGCTAAACTTGCTTTAGGATCCCAAATGTGCTAGTGTAAAGATCAGCAATTGTGCCAAATTTAGCCACTGAGA